CCTGCTGTGTAAGGAGGTGCGGCAGCGGGAAATTGCGGTGGCGGAGGATATCCTGTTGGGGGTGGCGGTTGCTGAACGGGATATGCCCCCGGAAAAGGCGGTTGTTGCAGGTGGGGAGGTGCGCTCGCGGCCATTTTCTCATCATAAGCTGGGGGGGCTGGTGGGACTTACAATAAAACAAAATTACTAGAGAGTGAGTTGGGCCTCAGTACAGTCAGAGACTGAACAAGGATGCCAAATAGCAAGTTGTCGGGTAACAACTTTAAATGATTAAAAATTGGAAAGAAATGGTTCAAGTAACAGTGTCCCTAGTTGTCCCGCCGAAAATGGACAGACAGGAAACGGTCTTACGCCAAACGTGCGGGAAGATTTGATCAAGACAATAGCCTTTTTCAGGTTAACCTTCTCGAAAGTCTAAAAAGCTAATGAGGCAGTTCAAAGAGAAGACGCCGGTGAAAGGCACTAAATGTTGGAGCTGATAGAATGTGCGGATGAGGGGAATAGCGTAGGCAAGACTGTTAAAGATATCTGGAAACAAAACTAGGCAAGGCTTTGCTTTGCGCGAAGTGTGAAGGATTTTTTACTGGCATTGCAACTGGGTTATTTAAGCTTGCAATGAAACAGGAGGAAGGTAAATCATGATTCATGTGCACTCGTGGACAAACATACAAAGACCGGAATTTACTAGAACGGACGATCTAAAACAGACAGCTGTCTGTCGCGGCCCATCTATCTGTTCATGCAGTTAAAGATTTTGCGATTTGGATACCTTCTCCAATATGTCAAAAATGTTGATCATGAAAAAGCAAAAGATCTATCACTGGCGATAATTTATGTTGGCCTAATTGAAAAAATATCGGTAGCGAGCAGTGAATTCATAGGTTGTAAATGTACTACCTGCTGCACCTTAGGACTTATCGGAGATTCCCAAACAAAAAAACCACTAAACCGGATATGTCAATAGTTAGAAGACTAAGAAAATGGGTCAATTTATCCAGTAAATTATTTGGTTAGCAAAGAACTCGTCGATGAAGGCAAGGGAGATTGGAATAACCTGCGAAAAAGCATAAGTGACCCAAAGGATTTGTAGTGTTTATTTAAAATGAGATAAAAACAAAAGAAACAAAAGAGCAAATAAACTGCCTCACATGGCGCAGACATCCTGGGCTCAGATTTTCGAAATATACAGACGCCCTTAAGGGTCGAATTAGCCGATTTGAACACTAAATAATAAATGTCAAAAGGTGATAATTCCAAGGCAAATTACACCAATAATGAAATCCATGCAAATGTCTTTAAGTCATCAGACATTGAATATTTGACGATTTCTGCCGGTCAAATCATGCTCGTTTATCTCATCCTGCTATAGACGGGCAACATGGAACCTGATCTCCAGGAATTAACTTATGTTCCGTTGAGTACGTTTGGATACCTCAGAATAATCCCTTTTGAACTAAACATAACTCTTGGATCTGTGGACGCATAATGGTCCAAGTAATTCGTGATTCCCCTGCAAATGACATCAATTTTACAGGTTTCCATGCCGAAGCCGCTACGTTACACAAACCTAGACTTCACAACCATCAGCTAAAGCGAACATCACCCAAATGTCGATATGAAATCATATGCAATCCCGCATTTATCTGTGCTAATACGTATGAGGGAGTAAAGAACTTTCCCATAAATTTAAAGTTGGACATCGTTATAAAACTTAATTCAAAGTCTACATGCATCCAAAAGTAACGGCGACCCTCTACCCAGATCTTTTCTAAAATTATGCAAGCACCGTATCCTCGAATGGAGAGCCTATCACCATGCAGGAAGCTTCCAAACTATGCAAAACAGAAAGTTTAAGATCATGTTACTCGAAATAATCAAAGGAGCAAACCACGGACGTTAAAGGTAGGGGGCGTTAGCCGACTGTGCTTACGGAACTCAAATGTGCCGTTGTGCCTTACGGACTCTCTCTCTCTCTCGAGCCCAACCAGCAGTCACACAGCGATGCATGATATAGGCAGAATGTTGCAACCGACAAAGACAAGGGAAACTGGAATGTCCATTTCTGTCTTAGTAGACGTCGTCACCAGTCATACTCAACCCCGAAGTGTGGAACACCCGAGGCTCGAACTTGAGACCTGCTAGTTAGAAGTTCACGTCCCTGACCACTGAGCGTCGGCCTGGTTGTCCTGTCGGTTGCGATCGGGAATATACAATGGTGGGGAGAGGGGGGAGGCGTTCACCGATCATGTCTACAGAACTCACTCTAGAAGACGAATGTGCGATCACTGGAACAAGAAATTTATTGGCCTGACGTTTCGGATTCTCACTTGAATCCATCACCAGAGGCAGTCGCAGATGAGGGTAATAGTAGCACAAGGAGTGCAGTATTCATAGCACGTGGCTGCCGTTGGACCATATGCGTGCTGTCATTAACAGCTCTCACAATCACCGCTGGGGTCATAATTGATGCGATCGTGGCTTTTTAGTCCGCGCCTGAGTCATTAATTGCTATGATTTCTCCATCAATGCTGGATGCTGGTGTGATGATTGCTCAGCAAATTGGCTCACTATCACTGGGATAATTGCTCGCCTGCGCCCTTCCCAACGTGATTGATTCCCCTGCCCAGGGAAAATCTCGGCCCGGAATATGGTAACGGAAGGTCATTGTGCTTGTTTGTGGATAGCGTGCCTGAGAACCATGAGTCGAGCAGCTCTCGGCTCACGCGGTTGTCACCACTTGCGAGGATTTTGGCCTCTTGAAACTTGAAAATATGGCCGGGTCCCGTCGAATGAGCCGCCACCTGAGAGCTTGCGTCTCCCCGCCTCACGGGTGCTTTGTGCTCGGCAATTCGTGTCCGGAGTTATTTCCCAGTTTCTCCGACGCAGCAGCTTTTTCCACAACTGCACCAGATCCGGTAAACGACTCCTGACGTTTCTTGCCCCGGCAGTGGATCCTTCGGCCTCATGACTTGGCGCCTAATGGTTGCTTCCGGCCTGTGTTCAACCCCAACTCCAAATGGAATGAGAAGATGACTGACGGCTTCCGATGCGTTCTTCACGTACGGAAGAGCCCGCCAAAATTTGAGACCGGTTGGATTTGGTCTCTGGTGTCATTTTCGTATGAAGTGGTTGATAAAGTTGCATGGGAAGCCATTGGCTTTTAGTACCCGTCGACGATATTGTTATTCAGCAAATTTGTCTTCCATTTCACTGCAGTGCGTCTTAACTCGCTAGTATAGCGCCCTTACGTAACTGCATTTGTGACTGATCGGGTGGTTGCTGTTGAAGTTCAATATTTGCGTCGTATTTGTCGCATTCCTGAACACTTTGGTTTTGAGGCCATCACAATCTTTACGGCAGACGACGAAGGCTAGCTGGTTGTTTTCCTTCCCCTCCATCATAAAATAAATGTCCGGTAAGATGGCATTGAGATGTCTTTTGTCTGTTCTGAGAAGACTTTTCAGCAGTGAGTGCCCATGCCTACTTTAAGATGAATATATTGCACATGGAAATGTTAATTCGCTAATACTTCAGGCACAGACGTCTGTTTCGCGATCACTGCCGACCGTCAGTATGCCACGAACCTGTTTTCTACCTTTTATTTTGAGGTATGTAAGGTTGACAACTTTACATAGTTCACTTCATAAGGTACATAACGGACCTGTAGCTTACCAGCGATCGATAATGGTCATAAATCAGCTGTTTTCGTCCACTGTGTTGGTACATCAGCGAGCATTCTAAGTATTATTACTTGTAGCTTTCAAATATCATTATCGGCACATGTGCAAATTTATTTGTTAGACCAACCTCTGGTGCTCGTGGTGTTATACTTCTATATGGTACATTATTGATCCTATCACTGGTTACCGGTTTGCGCTAATTGTCGATGTCGTTCCCGCCTACGCACGTATACACTTTTGAAAGCGGTCTGCGATTGCAAGAGTAGAAATCTTCGCCGCCAGCTGTGATCAGCTGTTTAGATGGGCATCAACTACAAGAAAACCTATAGACGAGAGACCAGATGCCGATAGCATTGACCCTTGCGTGAAGAAGAGGATTGTAATCACTGTGGTAAATGTAAATACTGCACTTATACGGTCCGTGTCGATCATACGATTATCCCTAATTCTCTCAAGACAGGCGATTTTCCACGTCAGTCATAAGTTGTAACCGACCGCATCTGTGTTCCTATCACCTCGAGACTAGTTTTTAATTTCGCCACTGTCCGACTGTGATCTATTCTAAACCGCCACATGCAGGCCAGTCCTGCCCGCATTTTTCTGTTTCTATTTTTTCGAGGGTTTTTTTTCTCCTGTAAAATTAGTCCAATAATTTTTAAATTTTGTATGGACTTTTTTTCACCCTTCGCTTATCATTTTCCTTAACAGTCTTCTAATCTGAAAAACTATGTCTTGCACTTTGTACAGATTTTGCCTGCCTCGTCTAAATTTTTCATGTAAGTTTATTTTTACTTGCTTTGATGGGACCCCGACGGGTCTTAAATAAAAATAATTGAAAATTAAAATTAAAAAATTTAAACTTCGCCCAGTGTTATTCATGTTTCTGAACTTTACTTACTTACGAATGCCCAAGGGCTAATTTCATGTGAGATTTTAACTGAAAGGCTTGGGCACTTTCACTCAGGCAGGGCTGATAGTGATTGAAGCAGAGCTCATAAGACCGAAACCAGTAGAGTTAAGCAGTCTCCCGACGAACCAGACAGGTCTTTGACCCGTTTCAGCTAACTACTCCTCAGTCTGCGGCATTGGATTCTGCACTCGCCCACGAATGTGACTCAGACACCGCCTTCTCATTGGAGACCACCCAGCTGACCTCTGGAAATTGCATAATGTGGAATCACTTCTCATGCTGGGACATAGTGATGCTGGCTAATAAGCCAGGAATGGCCATTCCAGTCTTCCTTGTATTTGTCGCTAATAGCATTCTGCCATGGGGCTTTGATGGGACCCAAACGGGTCTTTAATAAAAAAAATATTATTATTAATTAGCCGGTTTTTTCAAACTGGCGCAAACGACAAACGCCGGAGCCAACCAATGCAAATTGAAAACAAGGTACTACACACTTTTAGTATGAACTGACCTCTTTTCTCACGGGGTGACTTGGGGACGAAACGAACTTTCACCAGATGATGTACCAGTGTGCAGCCTCGACTCCTCGTTTTTAAGTGCTTTACGTTATACCTACTTGCCTAGATTGGGCTATTTCACTGCCTAGTGTTGATCGACGCTCGATGCATTTGCGTTGTCCCACATTTTATTTGTCGCCCATTCTGTTTCCTGTCTCAGCACATAGTTATTTTATGTTGTGAAGCCTTACCGGCAGTTACCAACCCACTGATTTGAGCCCGCAGCACGTCTTCCCGTTCTCTACAGTAAGGTCAGCATACAATGCAAGATAAGGATGTTGATATGCATAGTACACATAGTAAGAAAAAATACTTTACAAGAGACATTTCACTGTCCGAAGTAGCCACCTCGCACTAGGTTTTTCCCGAATGAGGACACCGTCCGCGTTCTACTGGCTTCACCTCCGCCCCTAACTGCCTTTTTTGAGGACGTCTGTTCCTTGTTCTGTTTGAAACCACGGGTTCCTGTTGTTTTTATTGCGATATTCGTGCCTACCGGATACGCGTTCTTAATATGACAAAGAAGGTGTTCTAACTTTCAGCCAGATTGTTCGCCTTTACACCAAACCACATTCTGCACTGGGCTCCGTCAGCATGACCAAACACCGCCCTAAAAGGCCCACCTTCGGACAGCTTTCGCTCGAGCCTGATCCAGTACGCCTCAGTGTCAGTTCAGTTCAGTTTATTGAGGGAAATAGGCGTAAGCCTTTGAGTACCCTAGTTGCAACGTAAAAATGTGTGGTATACAGAAAGATGTTATGGACTCAAATAGTTCAGAAAAGCCCATAATGGTAGGGCAAAATGGGAACGGTTACAGAGGGTAGCTCTACTTCTCACCGCTCTTGGTCATTTCGGATCATAAATATGTCAAGATTTGTTTTAGAACTTTGTATTGATGGTGACATCACAACGTCTGCAGGAAGGGC